CCCAGGGAGACCCCCCGCTACCCCGGCAGCCCCCGCCTCCCCGGCCCAGGCTCTAGGCGCCGGGCCCGAAGCCTTAACCTGGAGCTTTATTTTGAGGACAGTTCTGCCCGAGCTCCCGGAGGCCAGCGCTTACCGGTTGGGTTCCGAAGTCCAATCTCAGAACAGGCAGTGTGCGCGCGTGGGACGGCGGGGTGCGGGGTAGGCAGGGGCCGCCGGAGTGTCAGCCCCTTCGGCCAGGGGCTACGCTCAGGGCAGACGGAAAAGTGCAGACGCGAGGCTCTGCTTCAAACTCAGGACGAGCTGCGGCCAAGGCGGCAGACACTTGTTGAAAGCTTTCAGATCTCTCCAGAGGGCAGGCTGGGCCTGGTGGCATGGTACCGGTTGCTCTAGGAACCCTCCGCCTGGGAACCAGAAGTCATCTCTACCCTCCTTTTTCCTGTCTGGAATCGCCTCTAACCGCATGCTTCTCACCTGCCCGTATGTGCAAAGGCAAAATCACCCAGACAACCAGTCAAAACACGCGAACACCAGAAATACTTCTCATGTACACGGGGACCTCGATTCTGTCCAGGATTTTGCAGACGTTTGTTGACATGCGGGCACTTCCTTTTCCGAGTGGCCTTTGCATACTTTAAGCTTGCAAACTGCGCTTTTCGAGGACTGGAACTTACATAGGATCGTTTCTCTTCCTCTTGGTGGACAGCCAGGAGTGGATGGTGACATGGGGTACTGCCATTGCTCTTCTCTAGAGGAGGTCCCATAGTCCCTGTGTCAAGATGGAGAAGCAGGTAGCAATGAGATAGTAGAAGAAATGGAAGGGTAGACCCATAGAGAGGGACATTTCTTTCTGTGTCAACAGGATTCTATGCCTCCTCGGCTTTTAAATGTTTTAGACCTTTGGATCTGAGCTGGGTCCCTCTGTCCCAGAAGATCTGGAGATCTTCATCTGGGCCTCTTCTACTTTTCACAGGTTTCTACAAAGACCAACCTCATGCGCCTTTACTTTCTCTGACCAAAAGAGGTAACTTAATCCTAAAGGCAGAGAACACTGAGGATTATCAGCTCCATTTTCCAGATGAAGACATTGAAGCAAGGACATCATTTGTCCTATGTTCCTCAACTAGTCTTCCATCTCATTGCTATTTTAGCTGGACTCATCAATGTCAAGGGCACTTAGGAAAGGGCTATAAATGAACTTTACAGAACCCAAAGGTCTGAGGAGCTTTGCACCTGAGAAGGTGAACAATTATCTTCTGGGATTTTAATGGCCTCAGCCTTCCCCGGACACTTCCCAAACATACCCGGGTACCTTTGTTGGGGAGGAATCTCACAAATCACACCTTATGGGAAAGAAGCAGCCTATTCATAGAAATGTCAAATCGTAACAAGGCAAATTCTCCATTCCCTATTGTAATGGGAAAACAGGAATATGTAATTGAAGTGCACAGACACTTTGAAAACCTTATTTGAATAGTCATCACGACCTCTAGTTCCACTAAAGCTTTTAACTAGGGTTGCTCAGAAGGAACTGCGTCAGCGTGGCTGGGGGGAAAGTAGAATGGAAATAACAGTCTCAGAGCCAGGAGACCTGTTTGCCTGCAGACTAACGAGAAATCTTCAGCTCCTTCGGCTTCCGTTTCTTGCTCTGTGAAGTGGGGAGAAGAGGAGGTAGAGGCCGGACCAGATGGTCCTTCTGACGCTGACAATTTACAATGAGTTTTCTCATTTCCACCCAATCGGAGGTAGGTCTGGAGGGGGCGCTAAAGGTGACCAATGGACGGGGGTGAGGAGGGTCGTCATAAGCAAAGAAGCCTGAAGAAAACTGAGATGAGAACTAATTCTCTGAATAACTTCCTGCCATCGAATAGATGGCAGCCCAACAGACATTGAAACCCAGGTCTGAATCATCCCAAAGTTCATATTGCTTCCACAGCGTCAAAAATTGTTTCCACAGTTTTCTCATCAGACATCTGTGGCCAGTGATGTCTGTTCTCAAAAGGCTGATGTGCTACTTAAAGGAGCTCCTGTATATGTAACAATTTCGTAAGAAGGAAAACATTCTACAAATCCGGGGGATCGCTTTGTTATGTTTCATTTTTAAAGGTGGTGTGATCAACATCTGCCTCATTGTCAGGAAAGGCTAACTGCTGTGAATGTAACAGGGGCATATTACTTTATTTTGAATTTTAAACTCTGATCTCCCACCTCAAATCCGATTTTGCTGCCATTGCTTTTAAGATCGAGAGACACTGCTGAAGAACGTTACATAAATTATGTGCTCTTACCCTCTTTCTTCTCCTCCTCCTTCTTTTCCTTCTTCTTTGCATTTATTTTTTAGCAAGGAAGTAACCAGCGACTCCCTCCCTCTCAGGGGGCATACGTTTTTGCCATGGACTGCCTCTGCAATTTCAAGGGGACTTTGCTCATGGAATTTTCCCTAGCTCCTTGCTCCATAAAGCCAAGATCAGCTGACCTTTGGGGAATGGTGGACCTTCTCCAAGTCCTGTGAGTTTTATTTCCTATATATCTCACAAATCTGCCCATGTCTCTTTATCTCTGCTGCTGCCAAGCTAGTTCCAGGCACTGGCCTTTCTTACCTGCACTGCTGTAAATGGTCTCCCTCTTCCACTCACGTTTCTAGCAACGGGCTCTGCATTGAGAAGCCAGGGGGATTGTTTTTTTTTAAACTGAGACTTATTTTTTTAGAGTAGCTTAAGGTGCACAACAAAACAGAAGGAGGCACAACAATTTTCCATGTATTCTTTGTTCTCACACGAGCACAGACTTCCCTCAACACCCCCACCAGAACAGAAGAACCTATATTGATACATTTTAATACGCTAAGTCCATTGCTTAAGATTCTTCTTGCCATGAACTGTTCTGTGTTTGGACAAATGTATAAGACATGTATCTATCATTATGGTAACATGCAGAGTATTTTCACTGCTGCAAAAGTCCTCTAAGCTCTGCATGTTCACCCCCAATCCACCCCCTGACAACCATTAACCTGTTTACTGTCTGCATTGTTTTGCCTTTTCCAGAATGTCATGTAGTTGGAATCATACAATATGTAGCCTTTCAGATTGGCTTCTTTTGCTTAGCAATATGCATTTAACTTTCTTCCACGTCTTTTTATGACTTGATAGCTCATTTCTTTTCAGTAGTGAATGATATTCCATTGTTGGATGTGCCATAGTTTATTTATCCATTATCTACTGAAGGGCATCTTGGTTGCTTCCAGGTTTTGGCAATTATGAATAAAGCTGCTATAAACATCATTCTTGTGTGGACATAAGTTTTCAGCTCCTTTGGGTAAATACCAAGAAGCACAATTGCTAGATTGTATAGTAAGAGTATGTTTATTTTTGTAAGAAACCACCAACTGTCTTTCAAAGTGACTATACCACTTTGATTTCCCACAAGCAATGAATGAGAGTTCCTGTCGCTCCACATCTTTGCCAGCATTTGGTGGTGTCAGCATTCCGGATTTTGGCCGTTCTGGTAGTGGTATCTCATTTTTTTAAAAAAATTTCCATTTCCCTGATGACGTATGATGTGGAACATCTTTCCACGTACTTATTTGTCAACTGTATGTCTCCTGCGATGAGCTGTCTGTTAAGGTCTTCGGCC